ACAATGGTTTTAATCTTATATACCTTACATCCCACCAATTGCCCTATCAAAGTAATTGGATCTTCCAGCGATTGAAAGAAAAAGTCATTTTTTTTCCTTGGAAGGATATGCATGCATTTACACACATTCTACTATTAATTTATCAGTTATACCATGTTTTAGTTATTTAATTAAACTTTCATTGGTTTATTTTTAGTTTATCAGCTAGGCTATCCTCATTCTGTGAAAAAGACTTGTGACCTCCTGCCAGCTTCCCCATTTACCTTGCTTGTGGGAAGCCAGCAGGGAAGGTGATAAATGGTGATCACACGATTCCAGAACACCATGTGAGTTGGTTACCAAGTGCCCAAATTGCAGTCCTATGGCCACAGGGATGCTGCAGTGGCTGCAACTTGAAGGACTGGTCCTAAGTCTCCTTGTTCAGCACTGTTGGAACTTTAAACAGTTGCTGAATGAATATTGTAACCCAAGAAGTGCCTATAATTAGGATAAACTGATTTTTAAAAAATGATCTACTTTCTTATAATAAGCTCAGTGCAATAAATTTTCGATTGCTATCTCTTGGACTTGGAACGCTATAGCTACTTATTATTTGGCAAGATTCTGGGGTCTGCTTAAGTTTTAAATCAAGGACATTTTCCTGTTGGTCTTTCCTTGACAAAGGAAGGGATAGGGTTGGGCAGTGCATAGCCTTCAGCAATTATTTTGTGTCACAGTCACAACACTAACACTAACCCCCAAATAAAACAAGGTCAATTATAAGAAGACTTGGGGCATCCAACCAATATTCTAGCATGCAAAACTATCTTGTGAACCATATTTTGGCTTTATTTGTAACAGGTAAAAAAAAGTCTTGGTTTCATATAAAATAATCTGATATGCCTTAAAAACAGTAAACTGCTGTATTGCTTAATTTAACATTCATAAGTTAACTATTTCCCTACCTACCATGTGATGCTTCTTCCATGAGATAATGTCTAATCTAAACCCATTGTTGTATAGGTAGTCCTCACTTAATGTCCATTTGTTCATTTTAGTTTATATACCACTAGCCATACATTTGCACCGAAAATAGAACAATTAAAATATAACAATAAAATAATACATTAAGAGCCCCTCTTTGAGGTGATGGTGGTACAGAAATGTGAAAAATAATTTTTTTTTTTTAATGTAAAAAGATAGTGAAAAACAAACATGTAATTGAAAAATTAATCTAACTTTCGTACAGGAGAGGCTTGATTTTAGAGAGATGGTTTCAATCAGATATAATTGATGTAATCTCTGTTAAATTTCCCAGGGAAAGTATTCCAGAATATAGTATCCCAATATATCAGTGGGAATGCCTGCTAGCAAGTAACTGCAAGTTTATTGACTTAAACTTCAGGATAATTTTTCATCCTCCCCCCACTCCCGCGGGTGAGAACTAATGTAGTAGAGAAGTTAAAGATAGTGGACTAGTATTCAGATTTGGTATCCTCACTTATGGAAACTTTCTGGGTGATTCTGAATCAGTAACTGTCTCTTAGCCCAGGCTTCCTCCTCTTCCTCCTAGAAAGGCTCTGGAGCCTGGGGAGAGAAAAAAATGGGCCTTCCCCACCCCCCAACCCCCGAGGCCCTCTGGAGGCAGGAAACAGCCTGTTTCCTTACTTCCAATGGGCCCAGAAGGCCCAAAAATCAGTTGGCTGGCGTGCGCATGCGTGCCGGAGCTGAGCTTGCGTGCCCATTGATATGGCTATGCATGCCACCTGTGGCACGTGTGCCATAGGTTCACCATCATGGCTCTATAGAATATTTTCCAAAGGAAGAATTTCAATGTTGAGCCTGGTTTAGCTCAACAGACAGAAGCACTGTAATTTAACACCAACTATCTGCAATTAAAGTAAGATCGAATCTCGCCAGGCTCAAGGTCGACTCAGCCTTCCATCCTTTCTAAGGTAGGTAAATTGAGGACCCAGTTTGTGGGGGCAATAAGCTGACTTTGTATAAATATACAAAAGTATGAAGGCTATTGCTTAACGCTCTGTAAGCCGCCCTGAGTCTCCGGAGAAGGGCGGCATATAAATCAAATTTTTAAAAAATGTTATTTAAGAAGGATCTTTCTTCCATCCCATTTGAGTTTAAAATTTCTCTCTAGATGGAATGCTGAAAAAAGTTGAATTACAAGAAAAACTAATTCCCAGTGAAGAAATAGTTGAGAAAATGGAGAGGGATCTCTTGAAATTTATTGAAAAAATTGAAGGAAACGTTCAACGTTTGATCAAGCTATTCCAGCCACTCTTTGCAGAGAAAATGAGGGCACGGCGGAAATCAGGTACCTAAAAAAAAGTAGTGGATTCACTAGAAGCCATACTTTTGGCTTAATTACAAAATGTATCTGAGAACAATCACCTGGCAAAGATCAGCCACAAAAGACCCAATGTCAGAAGCAGAATCAATCTCTAAGCCACTGTCAGCATTTGCATATTGCTAGAGAAGATGTACATTTCATTCACTTTTGTGTGACTGATGTCTTTTTAATCACTATACAAATCCCAGTCACCTGGTTCCAGTTTTTATCGTTTGTGCAGTTTTACCAGCTGTGTCCCAAGTCTATTGTTTAGCAGTGTTTGTAAGCTGATTCTGAAGAGCTTTTTTCCCCATTATTATTATTAATATTATCAAATTTCTTTGCCACCCATTTCACAGTTTGAGGCGACTCTGAGCTGCTTTTGTTTTCTAAATATATCTAATAGGGATTCCCTGGCCATGTTCTTGTGCAATTTATGTTACAGACATAAGTACAATTACTTGTAATATTCTTCTTGACATATGAGATGGTTTATTAATATAATCTTATAGTAATAACATTTAAAAATTTCTGGTCCAATGATCTTTTATCTCTCAATTCAATTTTACATTATTACCGACGCTACTACTATTCCTCTTATTGCTATTGTTATTACTCTTATTATTACCTTTCTACCTCAGGTCAAAAATATACCCTTCTGTTTAAAGCATGGCGAGATAAAGTAGCAGATACACCTCAGGAAGGTGAGCCTTTGACACCCGAACAGATGTTGGATGATGAATCTCTTGCTTTTACTCGTTGTCATGATGTTAACAACATGATACACGAACTAGGGGAATCTTCATTTTTCAACAAAGCAGAAATAGTTGCCCTCAAGTATACTGCAACCATGGTAGGAAACCTTATAAAGGCTTTCAGCCTTCTAGTTAAACAATGCCGCAACCTAAAACTCAAGTGTGACAGTCTAACTATTGTGGAAGGCAGGAAGCAAGATCCTCAGGTTCTAGTCCTACAAAGAGAACTGAGAATGGCCCTGGAGAGAAAGACGGCATTGGAGAAGCAAGTCCAAAGTGCTGAAGAAAGGTGCATGGCACTCCTGGTCACAAATGAAATGATTCAAAAAGAATTGCAGGATGCAAATGAGAAAGCATCATTAGCAGATAACATCACCCTTTCCAGGGTTACTCCAGGTAAACCTCAGACTAAAACACCTGTTGTTGAAAAAGATGTAAAGAGCAAACAAGCTGAGAAACCAAAACTCCCAACAGAACCTAAAAAGAAGCTAACTAGAAAAGGTGAAGGAGAAATCTTGGATGAAAAATGGGAATCTCAAGGAGAGAGTTCAGAAGCATCTCTACTAACTATTTATGGGAAAGAACCAACTCCAACTGGAAGCATCCAGGATATAAAAATTAAACAGAAGAAAGCAGTTTCTGACAAGGGGAAAACAAAGCAACCACCAAAGACTACAGATGAAAAACGTCCACCAATGGATGGAACAGTCATTGAAAGATCACCGGAGGTACTAGACGAAATGCTCACTAGTCACAAAACATTGGACACAGAATCTGATAGAGTGGTTCCTAAATCCAGTTATGAAAAGCCTATGGAGAAAAGTCCATCTACAATGGAACCTTCATCATTAACTGAACCGACTGCAGAAGACATTTCAGGTCAAAGCCTCCAAAAAGATAAAAAAGGAGCTAGGCGCAAGTTATCAATGAAAGGTACTGCAGATAAAGTTGTAGTGACCATGAAAACAAAAAAGATGGTCAAATTCCCAGTTACCAAGGATACACCCACCCAGGACATGCCTAGCCAAGACACAGCTCCCTTATACACAACTGTCCAGGAAATACCTGAAGGTGAATTAACTCAAAGACCAATAATGACTTCAGAAACCAAGAAGGAACCAGAGACCCCAGATAAAACCCTGACACAAACAGCTGCAGCAGAGCAAACCGAGGAAGCCGCGAAACAGCTAGCAGACAAATCAAAAGATATCCGAGAAAAGAAAGAAACAAAGCGGTGGAGTAAATTATTACAACTCCCAAAGCAGGCAGAGAAGTCGGAAGGAGTGAGACCTGGTGTAGCTGTAAAGTTGCAAGAGATTGCCAGGGACATACCTACCTCAGCCAGCCCTACCCAGGAAATACCTACCCTAGACACCTCTATCCAGGTCACCCGTACCCAGGATATACCTACACTGGTCACCCCTACCCAGGACACCCCTATCCAGGACACTCCTACCCAGGTTATACTAACCGTGGACACCCCTACACAGGACACCCCTACACAGGACACCCCTACACAGGACACCCCTACACAGGAGATAACTAGAGGTGAATTGACTCAAAGGCCAGCAACGACTTCAGAAACTAAGGAGGAGCCAGCGTCTCAAGATAAAGATCTGACACAAACAGCTGCAGCAAAACAAACTGAGGAAGCCCCGAAACAATTAGCAGAGAAATCAAAAGATATCCGAGAAAAGAAAGAAACAAAGCGGTGGAGTAAATTATTACAACTCCCAAAGCAGGCAGAGAAGTCGGAAGGAGTGAGACATAGTTTAGATGCGAAGTTGCAAGAGACTGCCAGGGACATTCCTACCCCAAGCATTCCTACCCAGGACATTCCTGGAGGTGAACTGACTCAAAAGCCAACAACATCTTCAGAAACCAAGGAGGTATCAGAGTCCCAAGGCAAAAACCTGACACAAACAGCTATAATAGAACAAGCTGAGGAAGCCCCGAAACAATTAGCAGAGAAATCAAAAGATATTCGAGAAAAGAAAGAAACAAAGCGATGGGGCAAAGCATTACACGTCCCAAAGCAGGCAGAGAAGTTGGAAGGAGTAAGACACAGTGTAGATATGAAGTTGCAAGAGACAGCCAGGGACATTCCTACCCCAAGCATCCTACCCCAAGCATTCCTACCCCAAGCATTCCTACCCCAAGCATTCCTACCCCAAGCATTCCTACCCCAGACACCCCTACCCCAGACACCCCGACCCCAGACACTCCGACCCCAGACACCCCGACCCCAGACACCCCGACCCAGGACATTCCTGGAGGTGAACTGACTCAAAAGCCAACAACAACTTCAGAAACCAAGGAGGAGCCAGAATCCCAAAATAAAGACCTGATACAAACAACTATAGCAGAACAAATTGAGGAACCCCCGAAACAATTAGCAGAGAAATCAAAAGATATCCGAGAAAAGAAAGAAACAAAGCGATGGGGTAAAGCATTACAACTCCCAAAAAAGGCAGAGAAAACTGAAGGAGTAAGACATGGTGTAGATGCAAAGTTGCAAGAGACAGCCAGGGACATACCTACCCCAAGCATTCCTACCCCAAGCATTCCTACCCCAAGCATTCCTACCCCAGACACCCCTACCCAAGACATTCCTGGAGGTGAACTGACTCAAAAGCCAACAACAACTTCAGAAACCAAGGAGGAGCCAGAATCCCAAGATAAAGACTTGATACAAACAGCTATAGCAGAACAAATTGAGGAAGCCCCGAAACAATTAGCAGAGAAATCAAAAGATATCCGAGAAAAGAAAGAAACGAAACGATGGACTAAAGCATTACAACTCCCAAAGCAGGCAGAGAAAACTGAAGGAGTGATTCATGGTTTAAATATGAAGTTGCAAGAGATTGCCAGGGAGAAGGATGGTATGATAGATATAGAGACTATCAAACATATTTTTGAAGAATTAGAGCCATCATATAAAGACACTGCAGCAGGACCAGTGACTGGAGGCCGCCATGCAGACAAGCCTGCCAAAATAAAAAAGTCCACATTGCCTCCTGATACAGCTGAGCAAGCATATACTACAAAAGAAAAAAGGAGAGCCTCAAGAGTTGAAGAAACTGCTCTCCGTGAATTTCAAGAAGCCACTCTTGCTTGTTTAGAGGACAAGCTAGAAAAGTTAAAGAAAGGTCCTCCAGTCAGTGGAAAAGCATCAGTTCAATTTCAACCCACAGATCAACAAGCTCAACAATTCTTTAAGGCAATACAGGACAAAGTGGAAGAATGCTTCTTGATAAAGCAGAAGTCCCTTACTCATCTGGAGGAAGATAAACAGTTTTCGCAAAGCATGGAAAAGTTGGAAGATAAAAGTGGAGAAGAAATAACCAAAATTCCTTCATCTACTCATGTCACCCCTACTCAGGACATATCTACCCAAGACACATCTCCACAGGACATACCCACTCAGGTCCTGCCTCCACCTCCACAGGACATACCCACTCAGGTCCCGCCTCCACCTCCACAGGACATACCCATTCAGGTCCTGCCTCCACCTCAACAGGACAAACCCACTCAGATCCTGCCTCCACCTCCACAGGACATACCCACTCAGATCCTGCCTCCACCTCCACAGGACATACCCACTCAGGTCCTGCCTCCACCTCCACAGGACATACCCACTCAGGTCCTACCTCCACCTCAACAGGACAAACCCCCCTTGGCCCCACTTCCCCAGGAAATACCCACCCTGGCCACACCTCCCAAGGATATATCCACTCTGATCCCATCACCATCTCCCCAGGATATACACCCCCTGGTTATACCTCTCCAGGACATACCTCCCCTGGTTCCATCCCCATTTCCCCAGGACATACTCCCCCAGGTCCCACCTCCCCAGGAGATGCCCACTTTGTTCCCACCTCCCCAGGATATACCCACCATCATCCTGTCCTCACCTCTCCAGGATATACCCACTCTGGTTCCACCTCCACTTCCACCTCCACCTCCACAAGACATACCCCTCCTGATCCCACCTCCCACCTCCCACCTCCCACCACCTCAGGAGATACCCACCCTGTTTCCACCTCCCCTGGAGATACCCCCGCTGGTCTTGCCTCCCCTGGAGACACCCTCCCTGATCCTGCCTCCCCTGGAGATACCCCCCCTGGTCCCGCCTCCCCTGGAGATACCCCCCCCGATCCCGCCTCCCCCGGAAATACCCAGCCTGATCCCGCCTCCCCTGGAAATACCCAGCCTGGTCCCGCCTCCCCTGGAGAGATCGATCCTGGCCCTCCCTCCCCAGGATATACCACCCCTGGTCCCACGTCCCTTGGAGATACCCCCCCAGATCATACCCACCCTGGTCCCATCTCCACCTCCTCAGGACATACTTCCTCTGGTCCCACCTCCCCAGGAGATACCCACCCTGGTCTCACTTCCCCAGGACATATCCCCCCTGGTCCTACCTCCACCTCCACAGGAGATACCCAGCCTGGTCCCACCTCCCCAGATCATACCCCCCATGGTTTTGCCTCCACCTCCTCAGGAGATACCCACCCTGGTCCCACCTCCCCAGAAGATACCCAGCTTGGTCCCACCTCCTCTGGAGAGATCTACCCTGGCCAGCCTCCACCTCCGCAGGAGATACCCACCCTGATCCCGTCTCCCCAGGTCATACCCAGCTTGGTCCCACCTCCTCAGGAGATACCCAGCTTGGTCCCACCTCCTCTGGAGAGATCTACCCTGGCCCAGCCTCCACCTCCGCAGGAGATACCCACCCTGATCCCATCTCCCCAGGTCATACCCACCTTGGTCCCACCTCCTCAGGAGATACCCAGCTTGGTCCCACCTCCTCTGGAGAGATCTACCCTGGCCCAGCCTCCACCTCCGCAGGAGATACCCACCCTGATCCCGTCTCCCCAGGTCATACCCACCCTGGTCCCACCTCCTCAGGAGATACCCAGCTTGGTCCCACTTCCCCTGGAGAGATCTACCCTGGCCCAGCCTCCACCTCCACAGGAGATATCCACCCTGATCCCGTCTCCCCAGGTCATAACCACCCTGGTCCCACCTCCCCCAGGCATACCCATCCTGGTCCCGCCTCCTCTGGAGAGATCTACCCTGGCCCAGCCTCCACCTCCGCAGGAGATACCCACCCTGATCCCGTCTCCCCAGGTCATACCCACCCTGGTCCCACCTCCCCCAGGCATACCCATCCTGGTCCCGCCTCCTCTGGAGAGATCTACCCTGGCCCAGCCTCCACCTCCGCCAGGAGATACCCACCCTGATCCCGTCTCCCCAGGTCATACCCACCCTAGTCCCACCTCCCCCAGGCATACCCATCCTGGTCCCCCCTCCTGAGGACATACCTATCTTGGTCCTGCCTCCCCAGAAGGTACCCATTCTGGTCCCACCTCCCCAGGACAAAGAATTGTTCTTTCCACCGGATGTCCGCCTACCTAAATGGCAAGAGAAGAAAGAAGACCTGGCCAAGGCTTTACCTCTCACAAAAGAGGAGCAATCTCTGGAACGTGTGCCTGATGAAGGTGATGAGCAGGTCAAGGAACTGAAGCAGGAAGCTGAAGAACAAGACAAGAAGAAAATAATTATACCAATTTCTGAGGAGCGACCAAAGACTGTCGACAAAGGAAAAGAGCTATCCCCAAAAGTGAGCCATTTGGAACCAAAGAGCTTACAGGAGTTAAATATTAAGAGGGAGCTTTGGTACCAGCAACTTCAAAAGGAGCTACTGACAGAGAAGGAACGAATGCAAGAAGAGCAGTTACGGATACGGGGGGAATGTCAGCAAATAGAAAAGGCCAAAGAGAATCTGGTACAATGGCAGGGGTTGTTTCAGAAACAGCAGGAGGAGTGGAAGCAGAAGCAGGAGCAACACAAGGAGCAGGAGCATCTCTGGCAGATGCAGCTTGAGCACTGGCGGCGCCTGCAGCAGCAGAACGATCATTATCAGCAGTACTGGGCTGAGCAACGAGAGAAGCAGAAGGAGCAGCAGTGCAGGTTGCAGGAGGAGGTCAGACAGCTGCAACAACAGTACAAGCAGCATGTGATACTCCAAGGGGAGCAGGCCAAAGAACAGTGGTTCTGGAACCAGTTGAAGGAAGAGCACAGAAAGCAGCAGGAGATCTGGAAAGAGGAGGATAAAGAGTATGAGATTAAGAGAAGGCAGTGGCAGCAACAACAGGCAAAGCACGAGGGACAGATGGAAACCCTGAGGCAAGCCCATCTGCAGCAAGAAGAACAGTATAAACAGTGGCAAAAAGAGCAGCAGAAGAAGCAACAAGAGCTCGAACACACGTGGGAGAAGCGCTGGCAGCAGCAACTGCAAAGCTGGCAGCAGGAGATGCAAAAACAACAAGATCAAGAGAGCAGAGATCAGGAGCAGAAGAGCAAGGTGCTGGAGAAGCAGAGACCGATACCGAAGGAACATAAGCCCTTGAGTCCCAAATTGAAAGTAGTGGAAAGCTCTGTTTTGGATATATTTGTTAAGCCATGTAAAATGCCACCCGTTACTAAGGAGAAAATAATTTCTACCACTCCTCAGACCACTCCCTCTTCTAGTATTGCATTAAAGGAAGACTACTCTGAATTAGAAACTACATGGTTCCCTAAAATGTTCACCAAAATAGAAGAGCTTCCTACATACGGCATCACAGAGAAGCGCTACTGGATAAATGTGGAAGCACAGAGGAAAAACCTGAAGCTGTTGCGGGAAGCTTTTCAGAGGGCTGGTATTTCACCAGATCTATACAATGATACTAAAGAAACTATCAAGCAAGCATTACACAGCAACGTGGAGAGGCTAGCTTTGCTCTTTCGCAAATACAAGTCTTTCTACAATCTCCACGAAGTCAGGTAAGATCAAACATCAAATATGAAGCTAAATACTGGTATTTGCAACTAAGAGACACATTTTATTAGATTAAAGCATGATAGATAGTTTTTAAACCCACTAATTTATAAATGAAGATTTAAAAGCAAACCTATATTTTTAATCACCGTAGGTATAAAAGACCGATAAAGTATTTTCCAAGAGAAGCAAAGTTGCAGTGTAGGAATGATTATTACTCCATGCATAACATGCACTGCTGCAACGTATTTGTCAATTTTGTATTATAATTGTGTTGTAATATTCCATGGTAAAACACAGTACAGCAGTCTTAAGAAATAATCGATCCATATTCATAAATTTGGCAACTTGACTTGTCAAAAAAAGGATCCATGCTTTAGAATATTGGCAAGGGAAGGTCCCTTATATCAAATCATTTTATTAATCTACCTAGTTTAATATGATCTGCACTGTTTTCCAAAATTTCAAGATGGAATTTTTCCTGGTTTTACTGTAAAGACCATGGATTAAAACTACAGTATGACCTTCTGGATGTAGGATAGAGGCTGTACCATCAAGCTGCATCCTGTTGCTTCATCTTAGAAATATGGCAAACATTCTACATAGAATTGTATGGACTATCCTTTGCAATTGGGTTTGAGAAGACTGAGGCAGGTTCTAGCAGCTCTCCTGTAATCTATGGCCAGAGATGGCACATATGCAACATATTACTGCTCGGCTTAAAGATCACCAAGCATTGCCCAATTGATTTCTGGAATATAAGAAGAAACATCACAGCATCAGAAGCAGAGGTGGTATTCAGCAGGTTCTGACCAGTTCTGGAGAACCGGTAGCGGAAATTTTGAGTAGTTCGGAGAACTGGTAAATACCATCTCTGACTGGTCCCACCCCCATCTATTCTTTCTCCCGAGTCCCAGTTGATTGGGAGGAAATGGGGATTTTGCAGTAACTTTCCCCTGGAGTGGGGAGGGAATAGAGATTTTACAGTATTCTTCCCCTGCCACGCCCACCAAGCCATGCCCACCAAGCAATGCCATGCTTACCAAGCCACACCCACAGAACCAGTAGTAAAACTTTTTGAATCCCACCACTGATCAGAAGTGTAATACTCCAAATTAGTTCATGCAAATAACTCACTGGTAATGAGCAATCTAATCTACCATAAAGATTCTTATCTAGTCAAGTAACTTCTGCAAAGTCAAACCAAAGTACCAAGCTAATGTGTGAACTGTCAGAAAATCATGATTGTTGAATACTGAGCCTCTAAAAACCTCACCGACCATCAGTCTAGTTATTAGTGTCTGACTCTAGTATCAGAACTAAGTCAAATAAACCAGTTATCCCAGATTGTGAATCAATTTCACAATTTCACAGGTAGGTAGGACAAAATCAACTACCATAGATAGGCCCCTTTCTATGGGGACTATAGTAGGTTGACCGTAATGGAAAGATCAGTTGTTCTTGCAACTTTATTTCCTCATCCCATTTAATGCTGGGAATGAACTGCTATAAACTCATAATTTATATGTTCATTTGAACCAGGTATTCATTTCTTAACCATCAGTCAGATCTATCTGTCATTGCTAGTCATTCAAGCTGTTGCCTCTGATTTTACTTTGGGAGTAGTGTTGCCTCAAGTTTATGAACTGTCTTCTCCCTGTGCACTCTGCTGATAACTCCTGCCACCCAAAAATGATATTTTTTAGAAGTTTAAGAAATAGCTTTAAGTTATCAAGAATGCCTTTCACCTTTGGCACTACCTCTTCAAGGGTGCTAGATATCTCATTGAGATATGAATGAATGATGAGACTTACAAAATCGTGATTTTGAATTACATATCCAAACACTCATGTCTCTACTTGAATAAAAAGGTAAATGCCAAAAGGTGTAAGGAACGAAAGATCAATTGGTATTTGATAAAATGATGCAAAAAAACAAAAAAACAAAAATCAAAGTAGAATGCTTGGTTTGAATATATAAAGGATCTGAGTTTCTTCCACATAGTTGGATACACAACGTTTTTTTATTAAAATAAATAAAGTTAATAAAAAGTAGACTACTACTTTGATGGTAAATTGTGAAATTAAAGGAGAGGAAAAGGATTTTTTAAGGGAATTCAGTTACTCCATTGTTTTTTACCATCTCAATGACACCCTTTACATATTTTGAATAAAACAAAACTTGGATATGAACTGTTAAAAAAAAGGTAGAAAATATTCCATCTGTTATATAGGGATGACTTAAAACTATTTAGGGGAAAAACAAATCTGAAATTGAATCCTTAGTATTGTAAGTATATATAATGATGATAACAAAATGAAATTTGGAATTGACATGTGTACAATGCTCAGTATAGAAAAAGGAAGAACTGATCAAAATGACGATATACTATTAAAATGTGAATCTTATCTTTGCCTATTGGAGGAAAACTACAAATATCTAGATCAGATAACCTAGATCAAATAACAGCTTGCAGGATAAAGTTAAAAAGAAATCCAGTTTAGAATATTTGAAACAAGTGCAAAAAAATACCGTATTTTCCGGCGTATAAGACGACTTTTTAACACATGAAAATCTTCTCAAAAGTCAGGGGTCGTCTTATACGCCTGGTGTCGTTCTCCTATAACCAGGCAGACCAGCCTGAAAGGCTCTGACGAGCCTTAAATGGCTCTGGCGATCCAAGCTCTGACGATCTGCTAATCAGGCAACTCTGCTGGGATCGCCAGAGCCATGGAGAAGGAAAAAAGTTTTCCCCCTCCAGCTTGCTTACCTTAGCTGCTTGCCTTGCTTCACTTTGCCTTGCTTCGCTTGCCTGAATCCATTCCATTAGCAAGCAACTCCCTGCCTGCAATCAAGCAGGCAGGGAGTTGTGGACATCAACTCCCAGAATTCCCCAGCCAGCAAAACAAAGCTGGCTCAGGAATTCTGGGAGTTGAAGTCTACAAGTCTTAAAGTTGCCAAGGTTGGAGACCCCTGTTCTATTGGGTAAGTTTTTTCCCCTTTGGGATCTTTAAAAAAAATAGTTAATTGGGTTTTTTTTTAGTTGTTCTTTTTTAGACCTAGCCATTTAAAGTTTAGGAAGTTTTAAATTTAGCTTTCATATAAAAATAAAAATAAAATAAAATAATATTTGTGCAGCTTTCTGAGATTTAGTGTGTTTTTGTAGTGTTTCACTCTGACTACATAACACACAAAATCTCACAAAGCTGTATGTGGAATTTTGTGTGTGTAAAGTGTGAAAGTTGGGTTTGTGGGCTTTTTGTGGCTGTGTGAGGTTCCTGCTTGTTGCAGGGGCCATTTTGGGTCTAGCACAGCTGCTTTTACATTGTGGGTGAGCCAGTTGTGTTGTGTTGTGTTGTGTTGTGTGTGTGTAAAGTATGAAAGTTGTTTTTTTGGGCTTTTTGTGGCTGTGTGAGGTTCCTGCTTGTTTCAGGGGCCAATTTTGGGTCTAGCACAGCTGCTTTTACATTGTGGGTGAGCCAGTTGATGTTTTTTAATTTTTATTTGGTGCACGTTGGAAGAGGGGTAGTCTTATACGGCGAGTATAGCCCAAACCCTATATTTTAACAGGAAAATTCAGGGGTCGTCTTATACGCCCAGTCGTCTTATACGCCGGAAAATATGGTATCTAAATTTAAAGTTAAATTGTGGAAATACAATCAAAGCCACAAATACATGGTTAATACGGTAAACTGGACACAGGTTGAACTGGACAATTTAGATCAGAAAACCTGAAAGCTGATAACAATGCTTAGTGCACTAAATCTACAAATCGATGTTGATTGAGTACATTAGCATTAAAAATCAGAGGTTGTGCTTTACTGCTGGTATAAGAGTGGAAAAACAAAGATAACCAGGATCACACGATTATATTAAGGCAAGCAAAGAGAAAATTATTGTTGTAGTTTGCAAAGAAAACATCCACAACGTAGCAGAAGCAAAAAGGACTATAAACATGAATTGTTTAATAAATCATTTAAAACATTGGGGAAATAAATCATTACCAATACATTAAAAACTTCAAATAAAGTGGACAAGACAAAAAATTGGCAATAGTTAAAAGCTGACATCATCAGAAGGATTAATTTTATCATTAAAGAACAAACATTACAAATGTTATGAAATCAAGCAAATGCAGACTTTGTAAAGAAAAAGGTAGAACATTGGATCACATATTTAGTAGGTACAAAAAAATTGCTCAGTTTTCATACATAGACAACATCACAACAAAATATCCATTGACATTTGTTGCAAAAATTATGGGTTTCCTAGATGTGGGTATAACAAATTTGAAAACAATCATTAAAAATTATGTTAAAATTTTAATGTAAAGATTTTTCACATACAGATAATAATAGCAATAACAATAGCACTTAGACTTATATACCGTTTTACAGTGCTTTTACAGCCCTGTCTAAGCAGTTTACAGAATCAGCATATTGCCCCCAACAATCTGGGTCCTTATTTTACCCACCTCGAAAGGATGGAAGGCTGAGTCAACTTTGAGCCTGGTAAGATTCGAACTGCCAAATTGTAGGCAGCTGGCAGGCAGCCGGCAAGCAGCAGAAATAGCCTGCAGTACTGCACTCTAACCACTGCGTCGCCATGGCTCTGGAATATCTGGAACATAAATGCAACAGTTAAAATAACAATGAAAAGAATATTTTTTGTATATGTACCAATACCTAAGGAACTAAGGAAAAAAATAGAAAAAAATACAAAATATAGGAATGTAAAAATTGAAATGAGTAGCTGATGGAAAAGATCTCACAAAATTATCCCTACAATTATTATAGTGTTATTCAGTGAAATAACAAATGGCTTAAATAAATGTTTACAAGAACTAAAAAGTGTCGCTATATCAACCGTGGATTTATAGAAGCCATATTGCTGGGCACATGTTATAATTTCACAGTACAATATTACTTGGTTAGTTCCTAGGATCTTGACTGGAACTCAGTTTTTCAAAGAATACCAGTCAAAGATGTAATTCTTTTTATTTATT